AGTCAAGAGTACAATTCATGCGTTTGAGTCGACACAGTTTAGAGAGTAGATGGAGTGCATCCCAGCGTTAAGCAGTACTGACTCCAATGTTAACTGTTTCAGAGAAAATACATTAAATATGCTTAAGTGTTGACCATTAGTGCTTATTGTGAAAGAGGCGTCAAAGCAGAAAACCCAGGTCCAGCAAAGAAAATCGGGTGAGGCACTATCTGTACGGAAAGAACGAGCTCATTTCTTATTATTTAAAGCAAATTAGTGAGATCTTAGTAGCCTCTTTTGCATGTGGATTCACGGGACACCACTGTTGCTCACCTTCGTCGAAGACAAATTCCAAGTTTCCTCCAGCAAATATGTCAAGTTTTTCTTTTTTAAGAGTAGTGAGTAGGACGCTGGCACGTCTCAGCATCTCATAGAAATGATCAGTTTCCTGTTTGGGAGTTGTGGAAAAGTCCTGCAACTGCTGACGTGAATAATGTCCAATTAACTTTAATACTTCCATTGTTTTCTCGTCAATCACGAAGGGTCTCAAAATAAGACGATGTGAGATGGGATCAAGGATATTATGCATCTGGCTTCTGGCAGAGATGGAATATACATAGGAAGAACGAAGGACGCTCAGGGGACCTCTTGCTTCGGGCTGGATGGTCGCAGGGAAGAGAGCAGATGCAAACGTGTCAAAGACGACAGCACGAATGATCGGCATGTGCAATTGATTGCTGGATTCCGAAATGATGCAGTCGTTTAATATGTAAGATTTCAAAGTTTGGAGCTTGAATACCCGCTTTGAGACTAGCAACTCTTTGAATATTTGGAAGGAAAGATCCTTGGAGAAGCTTTTGTCATCTAGAAAACCGCCGACGACATGAACATCAAGAGTCTCGTTTGAACTTGTGATAGACTCGAAAAATTCGATCACTGTACTAAAAAACGCTTTAGTCAATCGTCCCTCCCCGCGTCCATCGAGGTGACCCATCGCATAGCCAGCTGGAGATGTGACAAAAACGGCGTGGCAAGAAGTCATCTCTGAAGTTCCGACATAACGAGGTAAGGAAGTATCGATGCGACCACCAAACTCGGTTGAGAGGGCGTCTGGTGCATATCGAACAGTAACCATCTCGCCTTGATGAACATAGAGAATACCATCACCCGACTTAATTTCAACTATTTTGGCGTCCCTAAGACTTTCCCCGAGCGAGAGCTTCGAGTATGCATCAAAAAGATCCATAAACCCGGATCTCCAAAAATTGCGTAGAGAGTGGGTGTCACTGCTGACCAACTTAAACGAAGAGTCACCCACCAGGAGAACCATTGACTTTTAAAAAATAACCGCCCGCCTTGACCTAAAACACACCGCACTTTATCAGCAATAAATGCAAAAAGAAGCTGAAACAGAAAAATCGCAGGACTCAACGATAAAAAAATTTATTTTGAATCACTTGGCCTGTGCAAAGCGCCTGCATCTCTTTGTACACTATTTACAAATATGTGCATATGTACAAGACCACTACAGCATCAATCTGATCCGTTCAGAAGATGCGAGGGGCACTCAAAGCGCAAGCCGTTACTGGGAGCCACTGCTGGCTTCTTAAGTGGTGCCAGGTAAGAACGCCATTCGTTGAGCAAATTGTACAAATCTATCCGCTTGAACCGCAATGCTTCTGCCATTATAAACGACACTGAATCGTACTTCTGTTGCAAGCTTCCAACAAACCTCGTGAGGATATTGAATACATGACCACCGTCTAAAAGGTGTAAAACACCTCGAAAGTAAACTACCTATCTTTGGACTGCGCACTATTTCAATAAGCTCATCAACGAGAGTTTTGTTAACATTGAATGTTAATTCATCTTCAGAAGAATGTTTCTCAGTGTGTCCGCTCCCTTCCATATCGTTTGTTGGAGAACCACCATTCGACGACGTATGATTCGTTTCACCATTGAGAATGGGGGCTAAAAGCAGTGAAAAAATCAAGAAGAAACTTACAAAGACGCGAAATGGAGTCATCACGTTGAGGAGACGAGCGACTGCTCTTTGAGAGTCGTAAAGCGGAAAACTTAACGTGTGGAGGAATGGGGCCTAGATCAAGAAGAGTGATGAAGAACGAGAAACTCACCCCTGGCTTTTTCACTAGTTTTAATTGACGAGCGTTTTCTCATTGTAAGTGATGAAGAACCAGATGATGAAGGACCCGAAAACCCCACATCATCGGCGGAGACCTCGTCGACAACAAATCCAGCATTAGATTTGCGACGGAAGGGATTCCCAAAGGTGTCAACGCGTTCAGGACTTGGCATTAATTCACGTAATGGGGCAACTTGTGGTTGACCGTATCTGTAATTTACGTAATCCCCCATTTCACTGAGAGCTTGATTATGGATACCCTCACTATCCATCGGGCGACCAACTCCGTCAAGTATAGATTCCAGGTTGTCCCTGAGTTTGGGCAAAACTTTCCTAAGCTTCCGTCGTGAAATGCTGCACGGATTTTCATACAGCATTCTTCCAGAAGGCTTAGCTACAGTGCCGAATGCTCTCAATTCTGAGAATTTTTCCAGCAATGTTGGTAATAGAACCTTTGACACCTATGAATTTCAGAGATTTCATTAACATTAAGCTCGCGCAATTAGATATACAAAAAGAATTTGTACCCTGACAATTGGAACGGGTTCAGCTTCTGACACATTACGGACGAGTTCTTCATACTCGGCCTGTGCACAATGCTGATGTCTCTGCAAGCCATTTTTAAATTGAAATGAAAAAGTCCGACTTAAAACCTCTGGCTTAATTACTCCCTGGAAGCCCAATCGCTCAAAAGCCTTGGATATAGGCTACAAGAGAATCAACAAAGTCGGACAGCATACCACATAGTAATATCGAGGTATATTAGTAAGATAGTTGGTCAATTTGGAGATCCACGCCTCTGTCATGCGCAACCCATTGACATCATACAATTCACCTATACCAAAAAGTTACAATTTAGATTGAACGCTACATAAAAGTTCCGCTAACTCGCGATAGTTGTAAGGAAGAACATGTAAATGAACAGTCTGAAAGTCTGGAGACAGTTTGCAGTACCCGAAGGGAGCATCATTATGCTGACCACTCTTCGGCACAATACACGGCCAAATCACAGAAGTGTCACGGCAATCAATAACTTTGCGAGTAAACCTTGAGGATTCTAACTCGTATCTATCAATAGGGAAGGAGTCCATAAACTTGGGAGGAACCTCTCTCGATAAATACGTATGAATAACAGGATTTGAAGGACGAGAAGGCTATGCGAAATTATGAAAAAAGAAGAGGGTACCAATTTTGCTGTTAAAAGCTCTTCAGTAGGAAAGAAACTCTCCGGAATGGGCCAAAAAGAGGGGAGCTTTACATTCTCCCTCAATAAAACAAGTTGCTTAATTGCAATCGGTTCAGTTGGAACTAAAAAAATCACCAAGACGAATAGTATTACCAGATATGTCAATGAGATCGATCACAACACCTTGATGGCACTTAGAGTTAACAGCTTCAACATATTGAGGAATCGCCCGAAGATCTGACAGGACAAACACCTCCCCACCAGTTTGAGTGCAGGATATAAAAGCAGATGCCGAGGGACCCAACGGGTGAGGGCGAGGCGTGTCATACAAGGTTTCAATCAAACCAGAATTATGCAAGAGGATCCCATGAAGCCAATAGTCCCACCTGTGAGAGCCGGCGGTTAAATCACCGCCTGGAACTTTAGAGGCAATCTAAAACGTAAACGCCTCGACTATCACTCACCCCACTGTCAACCTCAAACATGGCATAGTACTGAGTCACGACGATAACAACAGCAGGTTCAATGGAGGAGATATACAAACCCTAAGCTGTCAAACGCTTATCATCCACGTACCAAACCGTAAGTCTCAAATCCAGTTTGCATTCGATTGAGGTTGAGCAACTTGAATGCATACGCGATGCCCTTGCCGAGACTTAGTGTACCATTTGGATTAATTCTGCTGAGAGCAGCATGAAAAGTTGCTAAGTCACAGCTTTGCCTCCATCCCGTCAACTGAAAGCAACGCGAATAAACCACAAAGGCGAAACAAACCCGAAAGTTGTGTGGATACTCGTTGAGCGTAAACAAAAAGTACCGATCCGTGCGACATTTATTCACACGCGCCTATTGAAAATCAGCCAATCAGAGGGGAATTACTTTAAATAAGGTTTCAACAACTGTTTTCGCCGAATCTAACAAGGTCGTACCCTGATAGGTCCTTTGGTTCATTGAAGCACTATTATCGACAATAAAACAAACTATCGTCATGGCAACTGCGCAGAAGGCCAACGCCAACCCCACCAATGACCATTTACGTGAAGCAAGAGGCAAACACAGCCCTCATGCGCGACTGTTCGCTGAATTTATATAGTCTATGTGAACTAGCTTGGGCCATTGTGATTGGTTACAGGAATTAAGGAGGCTCTACAAGGTGCACGAAACATATACTTCAGATTTAAGCGGCCATTCACTCTGGATTTCGAAAAATCGACCTTGCCCTTATTAGCAATGATGGGAACCAACTTGAAATACTGAATTTTGCGCTTTTTTGCTGCAAGTTAATGCCAATTTATAGCAAGAAATAATTCACCTTTTTAAGCCTCCTATTTGCAAACTGATGTCAGTTTTGCCGTGTGATCGCGGTTGTTTTGCGTCAATTTTTGCAGACCTCCTTTCACTTGGTTGAACGTTTTCTACCCCACGTTTGGTTTCCGAATATATTTTATATTTGTTCCTTGCAGTAACGTTAAGGGGTTTTCCGTTGTTTAAGCGAGTCCCTAAAAATCGTTTTCTTCCGTTTTCTTTGGTCTGCTTTCCAATTCCTCTTGCTAGAATAAGTAGGTCGAACTTTAGTATTATCCTTATTTTTGTGTTAACGGTCTCATCGCTCTTTGAAGCGTTTCATTATTTTGGCAAATCTCATTCAGCAGGGTTGGGAGTGGCCGACTTCTTTAGCACAGAATTACTTCGGGTCTAGCTGATAACATCTCTTGATCGCATCCTCAATACCTACTTTTCTCTTTTAGTTCTAAAATACTTGGGAAATAGGGCTTAATCCGCGGTGCTAAGGCGTGCGCTGTTGACCTTTCACATTTACAGCGTTAATAGTGGTGGTACCTTACAGATTTCGGAGGAGTGTGATTAGCTTGCGGTGATGATCTCCATTGGTGTGAATAAGTTGTAGTTCTCGGGTGAAGGCGTGGAATTTTATGAATGATCCGTAGTGTCGACGATTTCAGGATAGAAAATTTAACTATAAGTTAAATGACGGAGTCACTTTATAACAATATGCCGTTTACTCTGCAATGGGGTGTTTAAATTTGGTAATGTTCACTCAACGAATGTACGTAGTGGTTTGAAAAAGAATCGCTCCTATTTGCATCTGGTGTTGATTTTTTTGCTTTAATCCGTGGTCTTGTGTTCGCCAATAAGCTTGTGTGAATGTAAATCCGTAGCATTATTCGTTTGAACCACGTTGCAGTTAACAGAGGCCACGAAAGGCTTAATTGGGGAGATGCGGCAGAATGTGATGCTTTGTTGCTGATGATGATTGAGACTTTTGCATTAAAAACGAACGTAACTTTAACTCTGGTACTTAGCCACTGACCGCTGTACAGGAGCGGCTTCGGGGAGCAAAGAATGACCTTTTCAGTGGTTTATGCTTTTTTTTTCTTTTACTTTCAAGATTACCCAATGAATTAGTTATTAGCGACTAGTGTATGGTTTCCTGATAGTAGTTTGTATTAGCCACTGACTGCAACTTCTACATCATTTCCTGTTGCTTTCCTCTTTGCATGCTTCTAAGGAGCATCGGCTTCGAGATGATTTGTTTAACATGGAGGTACAAAATGTGAGAAGAACTTTATACAAGGGAAGGAAGGGGAGATGCTTAAATTGGATCCAGACGCTGAGGCATTCCTCCCCTATGTTCGATCTGAATTCTCTCCCCGGCCAACAAGGTATAATCAAACAACTCATGTAGGTCGCTTTAACTTTCCAACTGTACAAGTTAACCGATGATAAATAGCGTGGAATTGCGGAAGCTGATTAAGAGTCTAAATATTAATTGCAGAGATTCGTCGAGAATGCCCTGCTGCTTATT